GGCGCTCGATGGCGATGTGCAGGGCTGTCTGACCTGCGCCATGGGCACCCATCACCACCGTCGCGCTCCATGACTCCCCCCTGGGTACCCAGCCTTCCGGGGGTACCTGCTGCTCCAGCCCCCTAAAGCCTCCCATCACCTCAGGGTCCTCACTGCTCTGGTTGCTAATCAATCCAGGGCTCTCCATCCACACCAGGGTACCTGCTGCTCCAGCCCCCTAAAGCCTCCCATCACCTCAGGGTCCTCACTGCTCTGGTTGCTAATCAATCCAGGGCTCTACATCCGCACCAGGGTACCCACTGCTCCGGTCCCCAACCTCCCCAGCATCCTCTATCCCCCTATGCTCCAGTCCCCAAGCAGTGTCCTCATGCCCAGGCAGGCCCACAGCAGCCCCATGCCCCTACCTCGGTAATAGACATCCCTGAAGGGCGAGTTGATGAACTCCCGCATGTTGCCCGTCCTCTCGGCGATGTCGAGCAGCAGCGGGATGGTGTCGTTCCTGCCGCCGCTCAGGTTGAGCAGCGCCTTGGGCAGGCAGGTCTTCCCCGTGGAGGGCTCTGCGAGCAGAGGGTGCTGAGAGCCCAGCACATGGGGGTGCCCAGACCCGCACCCCTGGCCGGATCCCAGGGGATCAGCACCCACCATGGGGGACCCAGGTCCTCACCTCGAAACTCCTCATCCGTGAGGCGCTTCTTGTGCGTGAGGAGGAAGGAGAGGAGCCCGTCCAGGCCGCCCGGGGACCCCCGGGACACGATGTCGAAGAGGATGGGTCTGTTGAACACCTTGAGGACGGGGGGCGGGTTGGGAGCCGGCCCCTTCACACCCGGAGCTTGCTTCCTGTGGGAGAGGCGCCAGTGCTGGGAATCAGAGCCACTGCTTCAGTTTCCTGCTTGTGCAAAGAGCCTGAGGATGCTCAGCGGTGGGGAAGGGCGCGGGCACCACGGGGTGACCTCCACACCCACAGCAGCCCAGTGCTCCCAGCATCACCCATGGGGACTGGGGGGGGACTTTGCCAGCTCCTCCCTGGAGCTGCATTTTGGGCCCCAACCGTGACCGGACACGGGTTTGGCCGCGCTCCAGTGCCACGGGCAAAGCCAGACCGGTTGGAGCAGTTGGCAGCAACGGGACAGGCTGGGGACAACCGGCGATCACCGGGAACGGGGGCAGGACGGAGGGTGGCCGTGCCAGCGGGGACCTCGGGCATCCCGGCCCCCTCCATCCACCCCTGCCCCATCCCGGCTGCCCCCGCCCCAGGTGCCCGGCACAGAGGGGTCATTGTGCGCCCGGCCGCGGGCGGCCCCCCCCGGCTCCGGTTTCCTGGCGTGGGGAGGGCGGAGGCTCTCCTGAAAAGCCCTTTCATGCCCGGAGCCAGACGCCCGCTCCGGCCGGCAGCGGCGGCGCGCACAGAGCCTCTTTCACGGGGCCGGTAAGGGGGAAGCGGAGCCAACGCTGCCGGCACCGCAGCACCGCCACCGGGACCGGCCGGGAGCTGCTCCCTGCCCACAGCACCCCTCAAAGAGCCATGGGGGGACCTGTCCCCATCCGCAGCCGATGGGCATCGCCATAACCCCATGTATTGTATCCCCCATGGGCATCCCCGTATCCCCCATGTATCATACCCCCCATGGGCATCCCCATACTCCCATGTATCGTACCCCCCATGGGCATCCCCATACTCCCATGTATTGTATCCCCCATGGGCATCCCCGTATCCCCCATGTATCATACCCCCCATGGGCATCCCCATACTCCCATATATTGTATCCCCCATGGGCATCCTTGTACCCCGATGTATCGTACCCCCCATGGGCATCCCCATGCTCCCATGTATTGTATCACCCATGGGCATCCCCGTACCCCCATGTATCGGACCCCCCATGGGCATTGTACCCCCTATGCTGGCCCCCCCGCCCCATCCCAGCCCGTCGGCACTGGGGCACACCAGCATCCCCATACTCACTCCACGACCCTCCTGCGCCAGCGCTTGTTCTCACTGGGGTGGTGGCGGTAGGTGCCGTAGTCGAACAGGGAGTCCATGGGGGCTTTCTTGGGCGCGGGGACCACGGAGGACTCGTAGATGGTGGCCTCCAGCAGCTCCATGGGTTTCGGGGCGCCCTTACGGAAGGCCCCGTGGAATTTCATGCGGAGGTTCTGCTTCCCATCCCCGGGGCCCGGGGGACCCCGCGCTGCCTCCGGGGGGGACGGGGTGTCCTCGCTCTCGAACAGGTTGGCCAGGGAGGAGAGTGGGAAGGAATCGTTCTGGAGGGACCCATCATCTCCTGGGCCCTCGCCGGCATCACCAGCGATGCGCACTGGGTCCTCGGTGTCTGCCATGCTGCAGGGATGGATGTGACCCACACGAGAGCAGGAGACCTGGCAGAGGAAACCACAGCATCACCCCCAAATCCTCTGTACCGCCCATCCGCTCCCTGCGCTGCCCAGCCCCATAGCGGGAGTGGGTCCCACACCGACCCTGCGGCAGTCGGGGTGTCCCAGCTGCTCCCCTCCGCACTCCCCGGCCGTGGGGACCCCTCGTTGGCAGCGCTGCTGCCGGCTTCAAAGCGCAGCCGGAATGGGCAAGGGCGAGCCCGGCCTCGCTGCCTCTCCCCGCTGCGGTCGGCTTGGGTGCAGCCCAGGACAGGGCACAGAGCAGACCCTGTGCGCTCCCGTGTGCCGCCCAGGGAAAGAAAACATTCCTGGGATACACCCCGCGCCTTGGGAAGCGCACAGAGGCAGCGGGAAGCTGCCACCGCAGCAGGGATGGGGCTGGTCCATGAGAGCGGGGGGGCTGGATCTGGGTGCTGGGCATGGGGAGGGGGACGGGCACGGCACGGGGGGGGGGGGGTCAGAGCCCGCTGGAGCAGCGGTTCGGGCACGAAAGGACGGGTTTGGGTTGCGCACAGAGGAGCGGGGCTGCAGCAGAGGGAGGCTCCCAGAGCGGGCAGCAAAGCTGCACCGGGGCAGGCACTGCCCTGCTCTGCCCCGCCACACGCAGGACGGGCACACGAGTGACCCAGGCTCTCCCGCAGCCCCGTGTTCCACCCACACAATAGCAGCGCTAAGGCTGAGCCCAGCTCCAGCCCCTGGGGAGCCGAACCCCCCCCCGCTGGTCCCGGACAGAAAAAGCAGCCTGGAAACGTGTCATTTTCTGCCCGAGGAGCCACAAGGGCAGGCAGGGCCCCGCCGCGGCGGGCGCGGATCTCTGCTGTGTAACGGGCCTCTAATCAGGCAGCGGGTCCCACAGCCGCCCGTGGCTGCCCCAGGATGCTGCCATGGACACAGGGATGAGGGCTGCAAACATCGCGGGGTGCCTGCGGGAATGGGGGGACGGCGGTTCCCTCCTGCCTGCCACCATGGGGGCACCCAAAGGGGATGGTGCAGCCCCAGGAGACACAGGACAAGCCACAGATCGGACGTGGTTTCTCCTGTGCCGACTTCCCTCCCATCACCATCTCTGCAAGACATTCCACAAGCACCTGCCAAAGCCCACAGGTCCCACAGCCCGACCCCGAGCACACACTGCCCCTTGCACGGCCAGCGTGTCCTTGGACAACAGGGAAGAGGGAATTGCCAAGCCAAGCCTCGGGCTGTGCACAGGGATGGAGTGCCTGACCCTTCCAGCCTTGGCAATCCCAGCGTGGCTTTAGGGAAAAGCCCAAACTGACACAGATCCAGAGCCCAGGGAGGCACCGGCACAGGACACTGCTCCCTACTGGAAGCAGATAAGGACATCAGTGGCAGGAGCAGTGGGGATGCTGATGGGGACATGGGGACAAGTGAAGGGGCTGGTGGGGCTGGGAGCCGGCGCTGCCACCAGTGACCGGGGCAGGAAGCCTGTGTCGGAAACGGGCTCTTGGGGCAGTGCCGTCACCCGGGCGCTCCCGGGACCCCGCTGCCAGGAAAGGTGCCGTCAATGGGGTTTCATTTGGCTCGGTCGTTATTTGGGTTTGCAGCTTTCAGACTCCCTCACCCCATGGAACAAATGAGTCAAGGCGCAGCTCACCCTGTGCCCTGAATCCAACACAAACCCTCCCGCCCCATGCCCCACGTGCGCTCCCACCTCTCCCCAAGTCACCTCCCAGTATCCCCAGTTAGTCCTCTGCTCCAGCCCACCATGGGGGCAGGGATACTGGGATGTGCAGGGATCTGCCCAGGGTGGGCACAGGGAGGATGCCCCTGCGCTGGGTCAGACTTTGCCACATGGAAGCTCCTCAAAGTAAAGCACGGAGGGCTCCGGGGAGGGGTGAATCCCTGCAACCGCATCGTGTGGACACGCGGTGCCGCTGGGAACGCTTATCCAGAGCGAAACAACCACCTCCCCAAGGGAACAGCACCGCGGGGCCGCGCTCACCTGGGCCAGAGCCCGGCGTGGTCCAGCCCCTGCGTGTCGGAGCTGCGGGGAACCCCCACGGGAGCCCCAGTTGACCAGGACCCCGCGGGGCCCCATGGGGCTGCATCCGACCTTGCCCAGCTCAGCCCGCAGCCCCCTCCTCGCCCTGGGGCTCCATCCTGCCCCGTACCGTGTCCTGCCCCGGGGCTCCATCTGTATGCGGTCCCTGTGTCCTGACCTCATCCGTGTTCTGCCCCGCTCCCAGTGCCCCGTCCGCCCCCCCTTCCCTCGCCCCCGCTGGTGCCGCTCGTACCGGTTACCGCGGGTCCCCGCGCCCCGCTCCGCTCCCGGCCCGTACCGCGCAGGGTCCCGCAGGCTCCGGCGCCGCTCAGTCGCCGCGGGGCCGGTCCCGGAGAGCGGCTCCTCCCCGGCCCCTACTCCCGCCCGCGGGAGCGGATCCGCCTCCGCCCACCCCTGGGTACCGGCCCGGAGCAGCCCCGGGACAGCCCCGAACCCCCCCCCCCCCCGGAACAACCTCCCTGAAACAGCCCCACATGGAGCAGCCCCAAAAGGTCTCCCACAAACAGCCCCCCCCAGGCAGAGCCCCCTAAAACACCCTCCTCAACCCCCCACCCCCCCCCTTGGAGTACCCCCAAACTTCCACCCAGGCTGAGGTTACCGTCAGTTTTTATTAACAATCACATCCCGTCGGCAGCACCGTGAGGCCGTCAGTGGATAAGGCAACGTGTGCTCCCACAGACACTGTGTGGGGCTGGAATCCTGGCTTCAGCCACCGGCAGAGGGGCCTCACTCTGTGCAGGCACTGGAGGAGTTGGGATTCCCTGGGAAAGTCATCGGCTCCTGCTCCATAGGCATCATTCGGGAAGCTTCTCACATGGGTGCCGGAGCAGTTGTTGTAGTCCAATGGTATTGGTAGCAGTCCAAGAGGATCAGGGCAGAGCCAAGGCAGCTCCATTGGGATGCAGCCACCAGCCACGCTTCATTCCCTACACCATAATAGGTGTGAACCCAGAGGATGGGATTAGAAACACTTGGTCTTCCCTCTTTAGTACAAAAACTTGGGGAATCCTGTGATGACAACTGGTTTATTGCCATATCCTGACTAGAAAACTCATTATTCTGTTTAGAAAACAGGTTATCCACTGCAGATCCAGACATGAATCAAAGTCGCCTGCCAGCCAGAAGCCACCCCAGTGAGTAAACCGCAAGTAGCACCCGTCACACCTGACTACAGCCCTGCCAGGCCCCTGCGAGCCTCAGGCTTTGTAGCTCAGCTCCGCGTTCATCTTTGTGTACATCTCATAGATTGCATCCAGGATGGGGGTGACCCTCGAGAGGAACTGATGGATCTTCTCGATGCTTTCCTCCTCTTTCACTTCTTTACCCTTCTCCAGTGCCTTCAGTAGATCTGATTTGTATGGGAGAGCATAGACTGAGCCCTATAAAAGAGGGGAAGAAGAAGTAAGGCTCACAAAACCCCAAAGCTAGCCCTATCCCACATGGCAGAACCCACGCACTTCCAAGCACCTGCAGACCCCATGTGGATGCACATGGGAACAACCTTAGGGATGGTAGCTGGAACCCTTGGAGAAGCAGGGATGCACAGAAAGGGTTCTAGCTCAAACAGATCAACAGCTTCCCATGTTTCCAAGCCCTTATTCCCTACAGCACATCACTTCTCGGGGCAGATGGGCTTTAGGAAGGGCTATTTCCTCCATGGAGATGTGAACACTCACCGTGAAGAGCTTCTGCAGCATCCAGCCATGGTATTTCTTCAGTGCGATCTCATAAGCCTTCAAAGCATTCACTCGGATGAGGTTCGGATGCTCCTCATCCCGCTCACCATCAGAGATGCTCTGCAGCAGCACCAGCATGAACTTCAGGCCCCTGGGAGAAGAGCGGAGACATGATGGGGAAGGGGATGCTGCCTCCCAGCCTCCAGCAAGGCACCCCCCGAGCCTGGCGCATCCGGGTCCCCCCAGAGCCCCACAGCACACAGAGCTGGTGCTTGGTGTGGTCCCCACAATGCCCCAGCCCAAAGGGAGCAGCCAGACCCATGCTCTCCGCAGCAGATGTCCTCACGTGCCAGAGCAGCTCCCAACGCCTTGAGTCACCTTTTCAACCACATCAGCGCCAGCGTCGCGCCCGTCTTGGGCCAGGCTGCGCCGTGCATCTCCTTCTCCACCTCCAGGATGTTCTGCAGCGTTTTGAACTTGGCGGGGTTGGAGTCATAAACTGCACGGATTTTCTGCAGGCAGAGAAGGGGATGGATCCCGGGAATGCCTGGCTGGAGCTTGGACCAGGGACCCCCTTAATGAACACACCAGTGAGCCCCAAACGGGAAGAAAAGCCCCTTCTAAACACCTCCAAGTCTTGCCTCTCTGATCCCACTACATCTCTGCTCCACGTTCACCCCTCCTGACCCCACCCTGTGCCCATTCCTACCTTGATATTTCCAGCCAGGTCAGCTTTGACGGGCGAGTACACGATGGGAGTGCCCAGGCAATCTGCAGAAGCAGGGAGGGAGGACGATCAGGCACGAAGGGACACAAGAGACAACACAAAGTCAGGTCATAAGCAACAGGTTTCACTTTAACCACAGCCAAGCACAGAGACAAGCGCCGGCGAGGCTGGGAGCGGCTCTTCAGCCTTCGCCCAAGGACACAGTGAGCAAGAGCTTGGCCTTGCCCGTGCTGGCAACCCCACTGACCGGGATGCAGCCCCGGTGCTGCGGTCTGGGGCAGCACAACGGGCAGTGCACTGTGCCCAGCGAGGCCGGCCCGGAGCCGGCACACAATACCGGCTTTGTGGAGGGCAGCGAGCCAGCGTGGCATGAGGGTGCCCATGCCAACACGCTCCCACGGCCCCGGCATGGGGTGAGGACCGCGGCTGGGAACCACGGGAGCGACGCCTCCGGCCCGGGTGTACCGGGGGAAGGACGCCGGGCCCGGCCCTGCCAGTGCGTAGGCCCCGGGGACCAAGGGATGTTTCCCAACGGGGCTGCTCGGCGGGTTTGACGGGCCCGTGATGCAACCGCGGCCCCGCCACGCTACTCTCCTGGAGCCGGGATCGGCGCCCACCGGGACCCAGGACCGGGGCTGAGAACGACCCAAACAGGGGGACCGAGCACCACGGACGGGGGCACCTGGTCCGGCCGGGGCCAAGGGGGCGCTGCCCGCAGCAGGCCTCAGCTGGCCGCGGCGGCGGGCCCTGTCCGGTGCCGGTCGCTGCCGCAGCTCCCCCCTCCTCGGACGGCAGGCCTGGGCTCACCGAAGAAGGGCGGAAGGTGCGCCACGGCCTCCAGGAAGGGCAGCGTCTCGATCTGCTTGTCCGCGGGCAGCGGCTTGAACTCGTGCTCCAGCAGCAGCGCCATGGCCCGGCCCGGCCCGCTCCGCACCGGGATAGGGATAGGGACAGGGACAGGCACCGGCACCGGCGCCCGACCCGGCAGCGCGCCGCCACAGCGCCCCGCCCCCGCGGTCCCAGCCAATGGCAGAGCATCACCCGCCGGCCCGCCCGCCAATCAAAGCATGGGGGCGGGCTCTGAGGGTCGCAAAGCTCCGCCCCCTCGGTGCCCACTCACCCGCGGGCCGGGCAGTCCCTGCCTCCCGGTCTCGGTGTGCGCCCCCGTGGGCATCGGCGGGGGCTGGGGCGACCCCCGGTTCATCCCCCCCGCCTCCGCCGCAGCCTGGTCAGGGCTGCACAGGGGCCTCCAGCGGGGGAAATCCCAGAATCCCAGCCTGGTTTGTATTGGAGGGACCTTAAAGCTCGTCCAGCTCCAACCCCTGCCACGAGCAGGGACCCCTTCCACTGGAGCAGCTTGCTCCAAGCCCCTGTGTCCAACCTGCCCTTGAGCACTGGCAGGGGTGGGGCAGCCACAGCTTCTCTGGGCACCCTGTGCCAGCGCCTCAGCACCCTCACAGGGAAGAGCTTCTGCCTAAGAGCTCAGCTCAGTCTCCCCTCTGGCAGGTTCAAGCCATTCCCCTTGGCCCTCTCCGGCGCCCTGCGCTCGTTCCGGTCGCTGTTAATTATTCAGTAGAGATCAATTGCTCGGAGGAGCAGGAGGCTCAGGCAGGGCGGCAGAGAACAAAGCGCGATCCGGGGCCGCAGCGATTGATTAATATTAAACACTGCTGAGAGCTGCGGGTGTTAAACGACACCGGGCTCCGCGCAGGCAGCGGGAGGGGACGGGGGACGGGGGGATTTACCGGTGTCCTGGCTCCAAAGCCGGTGTTTTCACCGGATATTCTGGTTAAACCGGTCGTGCAGCGATACCGATCTCCGGCAGCAGCCGCAGAGAGCAGCCCGGGCGGGGCTCGGTGCCGCAGGAACCTTGAGCCCGGAGCGTTTACAACGCCATAAACCGGAGCTGCTCGGCCGGAGTCCGGCCCTCACCGCGAAGCGCGACGCGGCCTGTCCCTCGTCGGCGCCCGTAGGCGTTGCCATGACTACGGGCGCGGCCGCTGTTGGCGGGCGATGGCGCTGTGGGGCCGGGTGTCGGCGGTGGAGCGCTGGGCGGCCGGGCGGGAACGGGAGGCCCGGAGCCGGCAGCAGTGGGAGCGCACCAGCCGCTCCTTCGCGCAGGCCGCCGTGTGCTGCTCGCTGCAGGCCCGGTGGAGCGAGCCCCGCTCCACCCCGCGCAGGTACGGGCCGGGTGCGGGGGGCAGGCCGGGCCGGGCCGCGGGCGGTGTCGGCGGGCGCTCCGGTGACACGCGGGGCTGTGGTGGCAGCGCGGCGGCGGAGCTGCGGGACGCGGAGGAGGCGGCGGCGAGGCTGGAGCAGCGGCGGGCGCGGCTGAGGCGGCTGCTGGGAGAAGAGCAGGAGGCGCTGGCGGCGGAGCTGCGGCGGGGCCGCGGGGCCGAGCGCGCCGGGGCGCGGCAGCGGAGAGAGGAGCGGCGGAGGGAGGTGAGCGGGGCTCGCTGCTCGGCGGGACTGGCTGGGGACTGCGGTGCCCCCCGTTAGCGGCTGCTTTGGGAGGGTCTGGAACTCTCCGGTGCCCTCACACGATCCAACTTTCCTGTTGGCAGGTCGCTGAGCAGCTGCTGTACGAGCACTGGAAGAAGAACAACGCGGAGCTCCGGGAGGTGACGTGGTTTCTTTTTAGTCCCCACTGTCTTGGAGTTATTAAATCAGTTTTTAACTTGGCGGTCATCGTAGGGCCCCAAGAGCTGGGCAGATGCTGGTGGTGATCCCAGCAGAGCCTCTGGCACTAATGGTGATGCCGCATCTGCTGTCTTCCCAGGTGGAGTCAGACCTGCACAAGAAACATGTGGTAGAGGCTTGGGGGGATCAGGTGCAGCAGAAATCCAAGGTAGGCAGGGGGAGAGCCCTGGTGTTACTGGTCACACGGGTGGGCTCCCAAAATGGTGAGCATGTGGAGGTGTGGCACCATGTGCCTTCTGAGCCCACTGGCACACAGCTTGCCTTCCTATACGGACACGGCTCACCTGTGGAAGGGACAGGACTTGGCTGCTTGCTCGCCTTCTCACACCAGTGTTGAACCAAATTGTGACTGAGGTCACCACACTTGTCCCCTTAGTGATGGGGAGTTACTGTGCTGCAGACCAGGAGCTGCTGTCAGAAAAGATGCTTTTAATGAAGAGCCATCACTGATGTACTCATTGTAATGAGTAGACCATCCATCCTCTAGATAATTCAGTGCTACCTGCTGAGTGCTCTGATGCAGGATTCAGTGTGGTGCTCCTTTCATCAACAGTGAGCCAGGGCAAAGGTGCAGGAGCACAGTAGTTGAATGTGCACACACTACATCTGGGAATACAGTGATTTTAATGCGAAAGAATCATAAGGGTCTTCAAATGAAGATTTCAGAGTTAACTACAATAATCTAGGCTGTAAAAGGAAAAACTGAGTGTATTTGTGAGACCACCCGTGCTTGGCATCAGGCCCATGCAGGGTCCTGCAAAGGATGTGTACAAACTGACAAACCTTTCCGTCAGCAGACAGTTCTGCTCTCTGTGCTCATTCCTAGCGTATTTTGTTCCATATTTTCCCAGTACAAGTCGCTTGCAGGATTTGCTTTGTGGATTTCCTGAGCCAGAGGCTGTTTCTTTACTTTAGCCTAAATCCATGTTTTCCTTTGGCTTGGAAAGAGAGAAGCAACTGAGCTTGAAGAGAAAAAGCGTTATGAAAACGAGTATGAAACGGCGCGAAGGGAAGCGCTGGAAAGAATGAGACGGGAGGAAGAGAAGCGGCGGCAGGAGGGGAAGAAGCATGCAGAGATGTTGCTGCAGCAAATAGAAGAACTGAAGTTACAGGAGAGAGAGGTAAGCCTTAATTCCTCCTCAAGTGAGCCACTGAGCACACATTAAATGAATGTGGAATAGTTCCTGCAGTGAGCATTTTGACTGCTGCAGGGCAGCAGGATGGGGTACAAACTTGGTACGAACACTCTCTCTGGGCTGTCCTAGCTCTCAGATATACTTTCTTGGTTGGTTTTTAATCCTTTTAGGCAACAAAGCTGAAAAGGGAACAAGAGAATTTATTAAAGCAGCAGTGGGAGCTGGAGAGCTTGGAAGAAGGAAGGAAACAAATGGAAGAGCACAGGAAGAAGAGAGAGCTTGGGTAAGAAGAAAGGGCAAATGCACTGGTGCCATTACTGCTTTTTGTTCATGTTAGCAACAGCAGGTACCTCTGCTGGCTGTAAGTTATGTTATGACAGAAGCACCTTTCTGAGTGCTGGCGTATAAAGCATCAAGCTTTAGAGTCAGATTGAATGTTCTTTGTTTTCCTCTTTCAGTCGCTTTTTGAGGCATCAGTGCAATGCCCAGTTACAGAGACGAGCTCAGCAGATACAAGAGGAGCTGGTAAGAGAAAAGACCCCTTGATTTATGCTTTATAGATACTGTGTGCTGAAAAACTTATTCTTTGTGTTCCATTCATGTGTTTGCCTCTGATGCTCACAGGTATTAGTTAGGAAGCTCCTTCCAGCTCGTGAGCAGGAACTGGAGCAGAAGTATCACAGGGAGTGTCAACACCAGTAATGGTGGAGAGTAGCCCTGCACCCAGGCTGGAAGCCTGCTGGGTAGCTGTTAATCCTGTGGTTTTTCCTCAAGGAGATAGACAGGCAAATCCTATCAGCCCTCCTCGAGAAAGAAGATGAGGAGCAGCGCCGCCAGTCAGCGCGACGGGAACGGGCTGTGGCAGATGCTGCCTGGATGAAACGTGTCATTGAGGAGCAGCTCCAGTTAGAAAAAGAGAGGGAAGCAGAGCTGCAGACTATTTTCAGGTGAGTCTGCCCATCTCTGAATGTCATCTGAAGAGATCCTGTGCCAAGTGGTGTAACCAGTGCAGACAGCATCTCCTCTGCTGACAGGACAGCGTGCGCTGCCATCAAGTTCCAGTTGCAGGTTTTGTTGTGGAGGGAAGACTTGTAAGAGCTTCAGCTGTAACTGCCCCAGCTTTGACAGCTATGCCCTTACCTACCTGTCCCCCATGGGAAATAACATCCCTGTTAAGAGGAAGCCTCCCTCCCAAAGCCCTTCTGTGCCCAGGAATTCCTGCTGCAGGCCAGCATTTGCTGTACCTCTAAAGCAGAGGGTAGCTTGTCTATGCCCATAGAGTATATAGGGGTCTTCTTAACTGTAAGTAATAACCTCAGAGAGAATTCTTCCTCTGTTTTAGAGAAGAAGCTAGAAAGATGTGGGAGAAGAGGGAAGAAGAATGGCAAAGAGAGAAGGCAGCCAGAGATCGCCTGATGAATGAGGTGAGGATCTTTTTGGATGAGGTCTCTCCTGGTTCCAGCTGTAACCCTCCACCCTCCAGCAGGCCTCAACCATCACTACCCAGGGCAGAGGTCTTCTGCTTGTCTGACTCATTGTCTTGGAACTGCCTAACCATCTGCCCTGAGATTTCCCCAGTTCTGCTTCTAAAGCTGTCTTTTTGTTGACCGACCTCCCTTAATCCTCATTTCACAAAGGTCCTCGCAGGCAGACAGCGCCAGATCCAGGAGAAGATGGAGTTAAACAGACGAGCCCAAGAAGAGTCCATAAGGTATCGAGAGCAGCTGATCAAAGAACTTGAAGAGGCCAAAGAGCTAACTCGTCGAGAGAAGGAGCAGGAGAAGGAACTGAAGACAGCACGGAGGCAGGAGCTGGAGGCGCAGGTGCTGTGTGCACCCCAGAAGCACTCCCAGTTGCTGAAGGTGCCCAGTCTGTGTCTGTTCTCAGTGTAACCACCCTGTTTTCTCTGTGCCCAGCTGACAGAACGGCGCTTGCAAGAGCAGGAGGAGCAACAGCACCAGAGAGAGGAGGAAGAGGAGGAGAGATCAGCCCAGCAGCGCTGCCAGGAACTGGTGCAGCAGGAGGCCAAGCGCATGGCAGAGCAGGGCTATCGCCCCAGGGTAGGTAGCAGAGCTGTGAGGCAGCCCTGACACACGGGTGATAGCCTCAGACACAATCCTCACTGCCCCTTAGTTATCACATGGCACCAGGGCAGAACACTGGGCCTGTTCCTTCCCTGGTACTATTTCTAACACCAGTCTCCCTCCTTTGCACCTGTGCAGAATGTGAACTCTAGAGCCCATCAAGTAGTTACTGTCTTTGTTTTGACCCCATTAGCTCTACAGTTACCCCAAAACAGCGTGGACCTGAGGATTCTTGTCCTTTGCACCTGAGGAACGGGCACCAAATGTGGCTGCAAACTACAGAAAGAAAACTTGGAAGAATCAAGGAACTCCTGAAACTGTGGGGGTTTTGGAATAGCCTACAGTGACAGTGAGACTCAAGTTAGGGGATTTCTGAAACTGTTTAGCCGTGGCCTTGCTAAAGAGCCAATTTCGACTGGCATTGAGAAGGTGGAGGTGTGAGCATCCTCAGGACTGAACTGCTTCAGGAGCTATGACCATGTATTTCAGCAGGTGCTACACTGGGGCAACACAGCAAATAAAGAGGCCCTCTGGATCTGAAGAGTGAAAGGATCCAGCCTTCCCATAGGATGGGAACTGCAAATCACTGTTTGGAGTCAGCTCATAATGTGTGCTGCAGATCAGCAAGATAGCCAGCGCTGCAGCTGTAATCCATAACATGTTCCTCTCCAGATGACACCAAGGACTCCATTAAATGTTGGTTTTCACTTCTTTCACAATAACTTCAACCTGAACAAACTGCTTGTTTCTTTACATGAGCCAACTCCTGCAACAGTAGGAGAGGGTTTAGTTGATTATTGCACTCGATTCCTTCCTTTTATCATTGGTGACTGTGCTTGAAATTGGTCCTTCAGCTGGTGTGGCCTGGTCAGGTCCTGTCCAGTGCATGAGGAGCTGTAGAGGGCCCTGTCACAGACAAGCATCATCACAGCCCTGCAGGCGCAACTCTGCTGGAGACACCTTTTCCAAGATCTTGTTACAGAGCCATCAGTCAAATAACCCCAAATAAACACTGAAAGAGTTTTAACTTTTTATAGTAATGCTGTAAACAAAAGATTAAGTCAAAATATTGTACAGACGAATGACACTGATAAATACAAGGTTTGGAAAAAAGGCAAATTCTTTACTTTCCTACGCAGCATTTTGTAAAGAAAGAGCAGAGTTTGGTTAGAGGGGGAAAAGGGGAGATCTAGTCATAAACGACACAACCACCCTTGTTATTTGAGGTGTTATAAATCTGAGGCCCAGTGCTGTGTGACCATAACCCACCCGGAACAAAGGTTTGTTCAGAGGCAGGGAAGTGACCAGAAATGGTGTTTAAGTGATAGAACAGGAAATCAGTTATGGGTTGACCATGATTTTACAGCTAAAGTTAGCGCTAAATGCTTGGGTTTAAGAAACCTAGAGCTGGCATAGCAAGAACAAGGGCTTGCAGCTCAAAGTGTCCATCTGGTTTGGTACAGAAGCAAACAGCTGATAGATTACAACATAACTCAGTGCTTCCCTGGCCTGGAAATCAGGCAAGAGACCTTAAAAGCACACAGCAGTGGCCTGAGAGGCTTCAAGAACCACCTCTTGCCTGGCAATGGTGTCAAGTTAAAGAAAAGATGATCACTGTATTTAACTGCCAGTAGTATAATTCTGAAGCAGGTTTTACAGACACCTTTTGTGGTTCTAATCCCATTCCTGGGAGGTTAAAGACACTTCTGGTATTCAGAAGAGCAGAAAGGAAGTAAAATACCCCACACTGGAGAAGATGAATTTACTGGGTTGTCATCAACTCTCCATTCCTTCCCTCCCTTCACCTTGCACTGCGTTAAGAAAGGAGCTAATTGCAACAGGAATCCAACAGTGTTGGGGCACTAAGTGTTCAGATAAAATACAAACACACTCGAGAAGGAACCAACCTCTCAACTTGTTTCCCACCAGAAGGCCTGTAGGGATGCATGGTTTGGGTAGACCCTGTACTGCAGCCTGGCTATGGAACAGCATTTCTGACCCAAAGGGGTCTGTGAAAACTCTGAACATTCACAGCTCCCCAGCCCCGCTGCCACCTCAGCTCCTTGGCAGTGACAACTGGGACAGTTCCCAATGGGACACAGCAGAGAGAAAATCACTGATATCTCCCCCATCCATGGAATTTAGACTCCCCAAAACCCTCTTAATTGTTGAAATTATGGACTGACAGATTCTGGAAGCTTTGTGAACTGTGATGAATGAAAACCCCAAAACACACCGTGACATTTGTGACCCCACTGCCTTTCCAACACGCAGCCCACCCGGGTCACTCCATACATAGCTCCTAAAATGTTAAAAGATTTGCATAAAACTTGCTGGATAGAAGAGCTCTTTTCACATTTGGCTATGCTGAGGTACAGCGGTTCTGTGCTATGGCAGATAGAGCTGCTTTGCACTGGCACTCTTCTAACTTCCTTTCTTTTTCAATGAGTACAGAGATCTTTAGTGAAAATGCATCTTGAGTCACTGAGAGATGCTGCTGCCAACCAGAGGGTGCTTGAAGCTGACAATAAAACTGTGGGAAACTGAAGAATCTATTATTAAATCAGAAACAAAGGATAATATTTTAACCACTAATGCCCTAAAGTAACATCAAACACATATATTAATGGCATAGTGACAACTAAAAGAAAGAACTACTAAGTTTCAAATTCCTTCCAAAAAACAGATAAAGTGACAAAGACCTCGTATAGTTACACGTCATAAGCTTGGATGCCCACAACTACTCCTTGTTGTAGCAGACTAAAGAACGTATTATTGCACAACAGTTGATATGGGAACAGATACTACTCGGCTCATACTCCTCCATCGGGACGGCAGCCGGTTACGGTCCTGGAGCCTTCAGAGCCTCTTTTGCTGCAGGGTTCTCAGTCAGCACCATCAGGACATGTGCAGCTCCAGGACAGAGAGCCCCAGGGGCAGGATGTGGCCCGCTGGTGCACGTGGTGACTCCAGTGGGAGTTTTGCAAAGTGCTATCTGAAAGCAGAACGTGGCCCCCAAGGAAACATCTAGCGAGAGCTTGAGACAACGCTGGTACGTTGTATTGGCTCGACAGCTATTTGCAACATGCTATTACCTGTAACTAAACTGGCAACACAGGCACAGAATAAGGCAGTGGGTTAAATTAATCATAAAATCGTTAGAAAACATGCAAAAATAATACTGAGGGTTTCTTAAAATAAAAAAAGTTTCTTGCCCCATTAGTTCTTCCTCATAAAAATCCGAGCAGTTCCACACCTATGTTTGCAATCCAACCTTTACAAAACAGGACTAAAAAGCCAAGTGTGACTCAGTTGTTGTTCTCTTTGGTTGTGATGGTGACCAGCTGCTTGGCTGCCTTGGCAATGTCGTAGGCGCACTGGATGACCTGCTGCGTGACCAGCTGGATGTCGGTGCCGGGGCATGTCTCCACGGGAAGTGTCTTTTTGCACTCGGATTGGAGTCTGTAGGCACTAGATGTCAGCAGGCGCAAGGAAGTCCTGACCAGCTCAGATCTGGGTTTCTGGGAAAGGAAAATAGAAGCTGAACTCGACAGAACACCAAAATCCTATCAGGATTGCTTTAATTAGGTGGTAGTGGCTCACAAGTGATCTGTAACATGGGACTTGTGCTGCTTCCCACACAAGCTGCTCCGCACTGTAGGAGATGCTACAGACCGTCGCTGTAGGAATAGGGGTGGATGAAACAAGTTCCTGGAATTTCTCCTCTCATCTCAGGGGTATTTCAAACTGCTGCCAGGCAGCACACAGGGAATACTGCTTCATGCTCTTATTTAGGAAGTTACTCACTCTAGTGCCTGTTTACTGCTACCCAGCCCACTTCCTGGCTGACGCTGGGGCACAGAGTGTACAGGACACCCAGCTCAGCAGTGTTAAGATTTTCCCTGCAGCTTTAGGAGCAGGTAAGACTTCACAAAACTTAAGTCATGGAGATTTCACTCCCTCAATTTGCTGTGAATCACAAAAATCAATGCTGGATGGTACTTACTTTTGGGAACAAGGCTGCCATTTCCGTTACTGCCACATGTATCCTCTCGGAGCACGGTATATAACTGCGAGAAGATGGATAGTGTTACTCATCATGTAAAGACTCCCCTTTCCTCCTCAATCCCACTGCTCAGTGGCTATGATTACAAAAACTGAGTAACAAAACATATATATTCCACAAGTATCTCTGCAGGCTGCAGTGAGGGCGATGGAAGCAGCTAGTGCAGCACACAGCACAGTGACTCTTGGTGTGTCCTCAGCACTGCCCTGCACACTTCAGCACACACTTGTGTAGAGCACCACAACTTCAGAGAAAAGCAAGAACTTAACCAGTGGTATGGAACTGTTTCTGAAGTTTTCATTATTCTTTGATCAAAGTTTGTTTGAAGGCATGACTGTTCACAGACATTATACCAAATGTTCTCAGAAAAGGTCTCAGTTTGTTTGTAGCTATGGGATTGGGCCCATGAATATTAACTGCACATTAAAGCACCAAATGGTTTCCAAACCTCCCCCTGCTCAACCATCCCCATCATCCAGAAAACTGCTCAGCTCCTGTTCAGCACATGCACGAGGATGTTCTAGTGTGAGGTGTGGGAGTGTGGCCAAGCAAACCCATCCACGTCAGCCAGGCACAAAGTGAAGTAAGATTCTGCAGCTTGAAAACATTTACACAAAATCTGATGATGCAGAGGTTTGGGAGAAAAAAGCAACTTGTTTTCCTCAGTGCAGGTGATCAAAAGGAGATAAAATACCCCAAACCACTCTATGTGGGATCTGAGTGAGTTTAACTTGCTGCCACCTGAGGGAAATCCCTATCCATTTGTTTTGAAAGAGCTTTTCCTCCATAAGGCAAGAGACTGCAAAACAAAGAACTGAAAGAAAAGCTTTTAAACTGTTAATGATCCAAGAGCTGAAATTACCCAGTAATCTTGCGGAGAATAATCAAAGACCCCAAAGGTGTTGCAATTTATTTTAGTTTCAGAGTTGAATTATGGTCATCCAAACTCTTACACATAATTCAACAGCCAAATGTTGGTGCGTACAGAACTGCCTTGGGTACCCCTCTGAAGCAATGGGGTTTTCCTGCTCTTCTTTTCCATCTGTAACTTGAAGTAGAAGCCTTAAAAACCCTACTTTATACTCAAAACCTATTCAAAAGCCATCAGTTCTGAGCCCCTCCAAGCCATCTTTGTTCAAAACAGATCTTACATCTTCACCACAAGCTGCTATGAAGCTCTGTGTTAGTATGGCCTGTCAGAAATGCCATTTCAGACATCTCATTTTTATACTTCAAAGACTCAGTTATAGCATTAAGTTCATTAACATTGTTCACGCTCAAGCAAGAGCATCTCAAAAAGTCTCAAAGCAACAGCATTCAAGAATATTCAGCATCTGTAGATTATGGTAGATTATTGCCCTTTCAAGCACAGAAAACCCCAAACCCAAACCAGCACCCCCCAGTCATTATTTGTGCTTCATCCTGCAACACCAAGGATGCCAAAACAGGTTACTTGCAAATGCACTGAGAAAGAAGCAACACACCGGGGTCATTTTGGCAATGCAGGAAAACTGCTGTCAAAAGGAGTATTTCCATATGTCCCAAATCACGAGTTCTTCCAAATAAACTACAAGCAGAGAAAAGTCTTCCAAATTCACTGGAATTCCCGTTCTGCTCTTGGGTTAATGATCAGTTTGCTCCCCGCAAGCACTGCCCAGCACGATACCTCATACATAAGCCAGTTTGGTGATTAAACCATTTGCTAAAAGGGCAAAGAAGGCCCCAGTCAACACATGAAGGAGAGAGACCAAGATTAACCATAGGCATTTCACAGCATGTTCTCCAGGTCAGCTGCAGAGCTGGTGGTGTGCCTGAGGAACCACTTTAGATAGTCTAAACCCTCCCTGTAAGCTCAGGAAATAAGCCAACACGTTTGTGGAGTTTACACACATTTGGAGGTGTCCTACAGGACCTTGTCCCAAGCCCCTCTCCAGGTTTCCTGCAGCCCCTTTAGGCACTGGAGCTGCTCTAAGGTCTCCCCTTCAGGAGCCTTCTCTTCTCCAGGCTGCGCCAGCCCAGCTCTCTCAGCCTGGCTCCAGAGCAGAGCTGCTCC